GGGTGTTTTAAGGGAGGGGACTGTGACCTGCTTTGGAGGACTGAGCTTGCCATGCCCTCCATTGTCATCTGGCTCACCCCAAGGGTGTTGCAAGGCAGCTGGCCCAGGGCAGGGAGGGAGTTCTGCCTGTCTCTTGCTGCTTGTGGCTCCTTTTATTGCCGTGATTAGCCATGACTTCTTGTGACCCCAAGCATGACCTCTGAGGCTTGTAAAGTGTCATTCTTTCAAAGGCTTCGGGAAGTAGTGAGCAGCACACGCCAGCCCCCGAGGAAGGAGCACGTGTGGCCTCTTGGGGTTATCTGCTTTTTCACCCAGAATCAGTTCCTGGACCTTGCTCTGACAATACTTGGGTCATTTTCTTGAACAATTAAAATTTATGAAAAATTGTTTTAAAGGCAAGAGAAATGGAAAGAAGAGAGAGAGAGAGAAAAACCCATCCAAGTTTCACTCTCCAAGTAGCCACAATGGCAGGGGTTGGGCCATAGCTGGGAATGGGAGACTCAATGCAGGGCTCCCAGGTGGGTGGCAGGCACCTGAAGCATCCCACTGCTTCCCAGGGTCTGCCCTGGCAGGCAGGCAGTGTCTGGCGCTGGAACCTGATGGGCGACCCAGGCACTGTGGCATATGTCCTTCATCACCAGGCTAAATGTCTACCTCTTTCCTTGCCAATTTTAACAACTATTCTCATCTTTTTATTTCTTCTTCATCTGTTAGGTCATGATGCAACCAAGTGTATTTTGGACTGGAATCCACACTTTGAAGTCAGATTTTTTTTTAACTGGTGATATGGATTGAACCATGTGACACATGTGGGTATTTCTACATATGCAGGTGCAGTTCCATCCAGCTGTACCCAGACAAAGGCCACTTCCAAGTACCTTGCCGCTGGATGTGTGCAGATACACAGGATTTCCTGGGGTACCAGCACACTGGGCCTGGCCCCAGCTCCTGTGGTCAGGCCTTGCGACGCCAAGCTCCTCTCACCATGCAAGGAACTGCCAGCAGCAAATGGCTGCTGCTAAACTACACAGGACCTTGGGCAGGATGACTGCTTAATGCAACTCTGACCTGCAAGGGGAGCTGGGCACTGGCAGTGCCAAGTGTGTGCGAGTCCTGCTCATGATAAGGAAGAAAAAGGATGGGAGAGATGGAGAGTGAGCGGAAGGGCTGAGTGAGTGAGCTGACACCTGGCCTTGGGTGAAGGATTTAAACTTTGCAGGGCTCTCATTTTGATCTATGAAGCAGGGAAGACAACACTGGCAGTTTTTTGGGGGGAGGTGGTGGTTACAGAAGGCAGGGCGTGCCCAGCAGCACCCTGGGGCCAGCACGCCTCGGCTGGCGGCGCCTGAGCACTAAGAGACACAAAAATGAAAAGATTTCACCACTGCCTGATTCGGAAATCATCTTAGAGACAATGACAAGACCACACATAGGGTTGGAGGGCATCCTGCCACTGGATGATGCCCCCAGCAGTCATGCAAAGGGGAGCCCCCGGGACAGGCCTGCCTCTGTGAACTGGGGCACGGTCAGCGGTTGGCTCTATTTATAGATCCAAGCGAGGTGAAAACTAGGCAAGGCTGTGACCCCAGGACGCAGGCCTGTGACCCTCAGGAACTGAAACTGAGCCAGAGGCTAAGGTGAATGGCCCGGCTCTGAGTCCCTCGCCCGTGAGAAAGCAGGGGCCGGGGTGCAGAAACAGGTCAGCGGGTCGGCTGGAGCCAAGGGTGCTGCCGCTGACAGCAACAGTGAGACCTGCCAGGTGGGAGCAACTCCCACAAATGCTTCTCATCTCTCCTTCGGGAAAATTCGAGGTGACTCACCATCTTGTCTCCCCAGCAGGGTAATCCAGACAGCGACACCCTTCCAGCGGTCACAGTCATGGGCAAGGTCTTGTTAACAGGGGTGCTCTGACTTTCAAAAAGAGGTCAAAGTCAACACCACAAAATCACTTTTCCGTTTTGCAGCAATAATAGCCACTGGTTATCAGCCCCATTCTTGGTGCTTATCTGCTTTCCTTATGGAACCCTCACAACCCTGGGAGGTGGCTCAGAGGCCCATCTTGCAGATGAAACAGCCCAACTCAGATTTTTAAGTATGGGGACAGGGAGAAGTGTGGCACTGTGGTGTGGTAGGCTGATCTTTTGCCTGTAGCAGCAGCATCCCATGTGGGGGCCAGTTTATGTGCTGGCTGCTCCATTTCCCATCTAGCTCCCTGCTTATGGCCTGGGAAAGCAGTAGAGGATGGCTCAGGAACTTGGGCCCCTGCACCCATGTGGGAGTCCTGGGAGCAGCTCCCAGCTCTCAGCTTCGGATCAGCTTAACTCCAGCTTTTGTGGCCTTTTGGGGAGTGAATTGGTAAAGGGAAAAACTTTCTCTCCTCTCTCCTTTCTAATAAAAATAGAGAAGGAGAAACACACACACACACACACACACACACACACACACACACACACACACACACACACACACACACACACACACACACACACACACGCCTTCTATCTGCTGGTTCTTTCCTCAAATGGCCATAACAAACAGGGCTGGACCAGGCCAAAACCAGGAGCTTTTTCCTGGCCTCCCACATGGGTGCAGAGGCCCAAGTACTTGGGCCAGCTTTCTCTGTTTTCCACATGCATTACCAGGGATCTGGATTGGAACTGGAGCAGCGAGGACTCAAACTAGAACTCTGATACAGAATGCTGGCCTCACAGGCAGCGGCTTCACCTACTGTGCTACATGCCAGCCTCCCTAACTCAAGTAGGGGTATTTCTCACAGGGTGCCCCCGTGCTGCTCCCAGTTCTGTGTTCAGGGACTCCCTCATGTTGATGTGAAAATTGGTGACAATATTACACTGCGGAGCCTGGCACACGGGACAGGTTAGGGCCCTCTTCCTTTTCTTTAAACTAACAAAGATCTGGCTGTTCACTCATTACCAGACAGCAATGAGCCAGGATTCCCATGGAAGACTCTCAGCCTCTGGCTAACTCTTTCCCAAGCTCCTGGGTTCAGGGCAGCACCATGTGCCTGCGGGCAGAGTGGCTTCTGGCGCCCTGCGGGATGCCCACTCTGCTCCTGGGATCACCAGTGAGCACATCCCACAGACTCCACTTTGGTGATGGAGCTGAGCTGCACACGGTCCTTCCGAGGCAAGGAGAACTGCTCTTCTGCCTCCCATCCCCCACTCAGCCCACCGAGTCCTGGGTGCGACCGCAGTGTTCACTACTGCCGCTGCTGCTGGGCAGGCTGAGCTGGCTGGGGCTGCTGGAAGCCCACCTGCAGGTGCTGTTGGAGAGGATGCCAAGTTCTGGAAACCCTGATCTTTCAGTCTTGGGCATTAAAACATGCAATGGCTGTTGGCACTTTCTGTTGGTTAGTTCCCCCTGAGAAAAGCAGCCCACCCCTCTTCTCTAGCCAGGGAAGGAAAGCCTGGGGAAAAAGCCCTACCTTCTCACCCTCACAACCTTGACTTCGGCTCACCATCCTTCTCCAGAAAAGGAAAACTAAGCCTCAGTCTGTCTCACTGAGTGCCGGCTGGCTGGCGATCATGGGTAACTTGATTAACCTCTCTGGTCTGGTACTCAGGGGCACCTGTCAGGAGGTGCTGGGCAGTGGGATAATGGCTCCCTTAAGGTCCAGCCTGCTTTGCTGACATGCGGCTGGTCCTGAGCACATGTGGACATCCTGTGGCTGGCAGGGCCAGGAGGGTGAATAGCCCCGCAGCTCCCACTGCCCACCACTGATTACTATCACCAATGAACATTGCAGAATTTCTCCCCAGCCCCAGTGCTAGCCACTCTGGCTGCAGCTAGAAACCCTACTGAGTCTGAAGCAAACCTCGGTCCCGTCAACTTCCAGCTCAGCAGGCAACAGAGCCATACTCGCCCGCTGCGGCCACGGTGATCTTAAGACTGTGTCGTGGAGTTCAGGGGCAAGCCCTCGGGAGGGAGATTGGAACTTGGCACACAACAGCCCTGAGCAAAAGGGCATGCTCCTGTAGGCGCCAGAGGGGCGAGGCAGGCTGGGGAGAGCCAGCGTGCTCAGCGGGTTATAACCACATGTTCGTCGGAATCACCTGGGGACCTCTGAGCAATGTGAGGACGGCAGAGCTGCTGGGAGCCAGGCTCAGATTCAGCAGGACCTGCAGTGGTACCCATGGGTGGGAGTTCCCAAAAGTGGCCCCCTGGGGAGTTCTCGGGAGCTATGGCTACCACTCGCCAGCCTGCACACTTAACAGGCAGGGAGGGCCTTCCTCATGCAGCTGGGCAAAGGCCGGGCAAGGGTGTGGACGCGGGACACGGGGTTGTTGGCTGCCTGGGGATTCCCAAGGTTCCAGAGTGCACGAAGACTGGCACAGGAAGGGACGGGCCCTCCTGCTGCCCACCAGGCCCACACTTGCTTCCTTTCCAGCTCACATTGGGGGCTCCAAGAGCTGCAGGAGACCAAGGACCCCTAAAGCTGGACTGTGGCCAGGAGGGCCTGACCTCACTGTGGAAGGGCTGCTGGGTGGGCCCAGCTCTCAGCCCTTTCCTTCCTTGGGGGGATAGCCCTGCTACACCTCATGCACAAGCTGCTGGGGAAGTTGAGGCAGGGTAGGTGATGGAAGCAAGAGGCTAGGCTTTCAGGCACCGGAGTTGCCTGTCTGCTGGGAGCGTTTCTGCAGCTCTCAGCCCAGGTTCTCCCCTCTATGGAAGGGGGTAGCTGCAGGAGCTGGCAGCGGCTGTGAGATGCTGTCTGGCCCTAAAAATCTCCTTGTTGCAGCCACACTGAGAGGGCACAGGCTGCTTTCTCCAGCTTGAAGGGATGGGCTGGAACCCTGGCCCATGGCCTTCTGGCAACACCTGCACAGAGCTGAGTAAACCCCCTGTACTCTCCCCTCTGCCCTCCCAAGGGGACAGGAAGAGAGGGCAAGTCAGGGCTGCCAGGCACGCGGCACACAGGGAGCTGGAGGGTCTGGTTGAGTGGCTGGAACCCTGCAGGCTGGGCAACTTCCTTCGGGGCAGCTCCCTTCTCTAGAGAAGGACTGTGCTGAACGGGAAATGTTCGGGACCTTTCTCTCTCTCTCACACACATACACAGAGGCATGCCACTAGTTTCAGGAAAATACAAAGCCACAGAATGTTTAATCTTAAACTTTTAGTTTCTGAGACAAAGGCCGTGGGAGAAGGGTGTGTGCACTGATGACGTCTTACTTTCCCTGGAACACGACTGCATCCTGATTTGTGAGTTTATTTCTTCCAACTAAGACACACAAGGAAGGAAAGAAAGAGGATGCTCCCAGAGCGAGGGGCTCCGGGTCTCAGGCTTCTGCCAGCCAGCTGAGTCTGGGTTCCGGAGGAGTGGGGCTGTCTGGGGTGCATAAAGCTGCTGTGTGAGCAAAATGCCGCGTGGAGACGTTCCAAATGGCTTCCAGGAAGCAGCCGTGTGTGCTGACACGCGTGGGGACTGAGCAGTCTGGCTGGCCAGCTCTTGAGACGGGTGTTTCCTAGAGCTTTCCATTGGCAAAGGCTGCCTCCTGGAACTGAGGCACAAAGGTTTTGAAATACGCCCTGGGGGGAAAGAAGAGGGAGGGAACAATGTGGTTAGCACAGGCGACTCGGCAGAAAGTGCGATGGGCTTTCGTGCCAACGCGGCCCAGTGTGACTGACTGTTCACCCGTCTTGGGTTGGATTTTCCTTCTCTGCTGAGGCCAAGCCCTCCGGACTTCTCCAGAGGAGGGACACACAGTACACTGCTGTGTTACCTCTTGCAGAGTTAAAGTGTGTGCAGACAGGCAGGGTTTCCTGGCTGCCAGCTCCCATTAGACACCATACTCAGTCCTGCTTTGCTTTCCCAGGACCAAGACAAGGGATCTGAATTCTGGGACTGGCTGTGTCCCCATTCAGTTGTATCTTTGCCTGTATGCAGTCAAGGACAGTCTGACGGTGTTTCCTAACTGGTATCCACTCTCCACCTATTTCCAGATCCATCTGCAGTGTGGTCACTGGAAGGAGAGCCAGGCTGGGTGTTAGGAGAAACTTTCCTGGCCAGGCGGAGTAGCTATGCGACATGGGACAGATCAGGTGTGGCCTTTCTGACCCTCAGGTCCCTAATCTGTAAAGGCAGGGTCATGTTCTTTGCCAGACAGGCACGTACTGAGCTCACCCTGGGCCAGGCACGGTAGGAGGTGCTGGGGTGCTGAGATGACCCAGGCGTGACACCTGCCAATGCAGGAGGTGCCAAATTAGAAGAGGAGGCACGTTCAGAGATGGGAGAGAGCATGTGGGCACCAGCGTGGCTGGCAAAGAGTGGACATTGTGGCTCGAGGATGCAGTAGGATCAGAGGTTTTTTGTAAGCAGCCAGTGAAAGCTCTGCCAGAACAAAGCCAGCTGTTCTGAGAGGTAGCAGGTGGGCTAGGCTAGCTGCCTGGTGCCCCGAGGCTGACAGCCTCGAAATCATATCTCGCTTGTGTATGCAGAAGTGGCTCGCCCAGCAATCTCTTCCCTGAGCAGTGACAAGAACCAGGAAAGTCCACCAATCAGCACTGTGCCCAGGGAGAGCCTCCCACATCTGTTTTGTTTAGGATATGGGTCTAATAGGCCTGGCTCTCCAGGTTCTGGCTCTGGGAGTGTCAGGGCCAAGCTCCAGGCAGGAGGCAAATTTGCCAGAGCAATGATGGGCAACAACACACAACCCACCTGCGAGCAGCTGACAGAAAGGCACTCGGGGACACGGCAGCTCTAATGGCACAGGTGTTGTACAGGGTCTCAGGCAGACCAGGCTACATGCAGCAACTGGTCTCATGCCTACCCTCCGCCCCTGCCAGGCCACCTAGATCACTTGCAATCTTCTTTCCAGTGGCGCCACTCGGAAACTCTCCAGCTCCTTCTCCATCTTAGCAGCACTGCCTGGAGTCCTCTGTCCAGAGGCCCTCCTGCCCTGCAGCTGCTGTGATACGCTGCCTTAGGCCTCCCACTTCTCCCTTCCTTACCCTCAGAAACAATCTTTCCTTCCTTTTTGCCCTCCACTCCCCCTCAGGCAAAGCAAGGTCAAGATCAAGATCACCATTACTCTCAGGCTTGCATGGCCTTGAGCAGAGCATTCCCTGGGTCAGGGCAGGTGAACTTCCACTTGTACCTTCCCAAGCCTCCATGGGACATTCTGGCATGAAAGCTGCTCTCTCACTCGGAGTCCCTGTGTTCAGGTGGGCATCCTCCTCACCGTGAAGGACTAGGGAGTGCTCTGATCAGTCTGGACCCCATGCTGTAGAGGCTGCTGCTCCGTGGGTTCAGGCATTCTTTTGAGAAGCTAGGAAACTAAGGATCCTGACCCTAGAGACACTGTAGATGAGATCTCTCCCCCGCAATGCACATGTCAGACACAACCAGGGGGTGTCACAGACCCCTGTGGCTCACCCACACTCCAGAGTCTGAGTCCTGATCGACAACTTTCCACCCACAATGAGGCCCCCTGCTCCGGCCAGGCTCCACCTGTGTGCAGGCTCCATGCCTTCCTCTTGCCAACCTCCTGCTGGTCACTGAAAGGTGCTCTCCTTGCATGCAGCTGGTGCTTTTTCAGGGCATTGGTGCTGTGTGTGTGTGTCCTATCTGCCATGCCAGCCTGCCAGCCCTGGGAGGTGCTTGGTGAATGACAGCCACCGGTTTGCAAAGAGTAGCACCCAGCATGCCCAGCTGCTGCTTAAGAAGGTGGGGAGAGGACAACAACTCCCTACTCCCCAGCCAGGAAAGGTTATACTTAGGGGAAAACTTGAGTCTGCTCTCACTTGTGAACCTCTGCCAGGGATGAAGGAGAGAGAGGGACAAGGTATCATCCGCTACCCTGCCTAAGCAGCATGCCCGAGCCAGCCAAGCCGTCACTATCCCTGACACCTCCATGACTGTGTCCTCAGGGCCCAAGGTGGGCCATGAGGAGTAGCAGGGATGGGGTCCTGGATTTAAAGAGAGGTTGCATGGGGCTTCTGAGAGTAGGGGCAGGAGCCTACCAAGGGTGCCATGTGTGGGAAGGGTCAGTTGCCACCCACATGTCAAGTGGTCCTTCACCATGTGTCACCTGCTGCTGTTTTCCCACCAGTGTGGTTGTATAGCCTGGGAGAGCTCATGGGCTCCTATTGGGGCAGGGACAGAGATGGACTGGGTGCTGTCTCAGCTTTCCAAGGACCTGCAGGTACCATGAGGCATGCTCCACACCAGCACCCACTTACAGGTGAGAGAGATGCTAAGGAGACAGGTTATCTACACGGGGGCTAACAGCATCTGCTGAGTGAGTGAGTGGGGCCAGCAGCTGGTGTAGGTGGCCAGAACCAGGGTACTGGTTAGGTGAGCAGTGCTGTGTGCTGTGTGCTGTGTGCCCCAGGCCTGGACTAACATGGGTCCTGAGCTCATCTCACCAGCTCAGCTTTTCTTGTAAACTCTGCGATGTTACAAGATCCTGACACACAGAAAATTCTTGGCAAGAGCTGGAGGCTGTAAAGGTAAGCTGTTTCCTTTGCAGAAAGTTCTAAAGTTGTCTGTTGTGCTCTGGGCTTTCCCCGCCAGGGCAAACTGCAAGCTGTCGGGGGGGGGGTGGGGGGGGGGGGCAAAGATAGGCTAGTTGAGGGCAGGACGCTCCTAGCTGTTTGCAGTGAGCATTTCCTGGTCAGGAAGCCAGCGAGGGGAGGGAACATGGGTACTAGTTCCCACCTATTTATGTACATAAAAATTCTTTTAAAGGAGATTTTATTTCACGTTTTATCCGGAAAAACGAAGAACTGCCTGCAGAACAGCTTGCTCAGGGCACTGGTTATCTGTCATCTTTGAAAAATAATCTTTGACCCAAAGACTAGGCATGTGGGGCTCTGAAGGCACAAGTGTCTCCTGCTGCTCTGTTAACTGGCCACTTGGCACCCACAGGAGGTCTGGCATGTTCCTGGCCCGTCACACCCACCCTGGAGGAGAACTGATTTTTAAGCCAATTTAGAGTCTGGGAAACCTTACAACAGAATGGCTCTGATTGCCGAGGGTCACAGAGCCACAGTGCAGTTCTCCATGTCTCAGCCAGGAGACTGACATGCAGAGATTGGTTCCCAGCCCGAGGCTGGGTAGGTTCTGCACAGCTGGAGCACAGTGGTGCCAGCCCAGGCCTAACCTCATGGTGGGACAGGAGGAGGGTTGCAGCAGTCCCCGGACCAACAGTCATGGAACCGGAATGTGTCCTTTGCGTCCACATTTCCATGCCTTGGGCCCAGGACTGTGTCCCCTCTCAGGGTTTTAGCTCCCTCATCTATAAGGCAGGGAGCTGAGCCTGAGAGATTCCAGGGGCTATGACTGTGGACCAGGTGGCTCAAGGAGTGTAGGTAACCAACTAGCTTGTCTCTTCATCCAGGAAAGGGGAATAATTGCTCCTATTTAAGGTACTTTTTAAATAAATAAATAAATTATATATATATGAAAGACAGAGTTACAGAGTATAGGGTAGAGAGGGGGAGAGAGAGAGTGAGCTCCAGTTTGCTGATTCATTCCCCAAATGGCCACAACAGCTAGGACTAGGCCAGGCTGAAGCCCAGGAGCTTAATCCAGGTCTCCCATGTAGATGCAGGGCCCTAAGTACTTCGACCATCTTCTCCTGCTTTCCCAGGTACCTTAACAGAGGGCTAGATCAGAAGTGGAGCAACCAGGACTCAAACCAGCATGCATACAGAATGTTGGCACTATAGACAGTGGTTTAACCAGTGTGCCACAGCACTAGCCCCAAAGTGTTCTTGCGAGGACTAGGTGAGATGGTCCAAGAAAGTCTTTGGCATGATGCCTGCCTTAATAAACAATCAATAGGTGTCCACTATTCCCATGGACCAAGCTGGGTCTAAAGGGGTGAGCCTGAGTCTGGAGGAACAGACTACGTAGACACACGTGTCAGGAGGGGAGTCCTTGGTGGAAGGGAGGTCTCAGGGTCCTTGCTAGCAATTCCTCATTTACTATGTAGTTTCTTGGATCAGGCCCTTCCGTCCTACTAAATACAGGGAGCTGGCATCTGGGGGCACAGAGATGGCCACTTGGAGCCAAGCACTCAGCCAAAGTTATCTGGACAGTGTGTATGTCTTAGTTCAGGGGCTCTTGCCAACCCTTGTCTGTCTTCTGTTCAAACTCTTTGTGCGGTGTTGGTCAAAGGCTTGGTCAGGGAGGTGGCTAAAGCTGCTGGTTAGATGGGTATGTGAGAATCACAGGGCTCTTGGGGTGGGCACTTAGTCTAGCAGTTAAGATGATGGCCAAGACGCTCTCATCCTGTATCAGAGTACTTGGGCTCAGTGCTTTACTCCATCTCCTGATTCCAGTGTCCTGCTAGTGCACATCTTGGGAGTAGACAGAAGTAATGGTGCAAGTAACTGGGTTTCTGCCAACAGCAACGTGAGCCCTGGATTGAGTTCCTGGCTCCCTGTTTCAACTTAGCTTATGTTTAGCTCTTATGGGCATTTGGGGAGTAGACCAAAGATGGGAGCACTCTCTTTCTCTACCTCTCAGAAAAAAATGCCTCCAGGCTGTGAGTGCACACAGTTAGGGCCCTGTCTGTTGACCA